TGAGAGACTAACAGTTACAATTACCTTTCAAGTAAGCTTTAATATGATGTGTTCTTTTTATTGAGTTAAACCTGTAGTAAAACTGAAAAGACATTATTTACTTTAAGAAAGTCAGTAAACAGCTTTATGTTAGGAAATGAACTGTGACCACATTGTTTAAAACTAATCAGCTTTTAGGCATGTTCTAGCTTTGGTGTGACTTGTGAGGCATAACTCGTCAAAAAAGATATTACTTGATCTTCAAGTAAGAGATGACAAGCACTTTGTTTTACCAAAAAGAGTGCTTGTGACAAAATTGAGATCAGTTTCTCGCAAAAGAACTACAAGGAGCTATAATGTATCTTCCGCGACCTTGTGCAAAAGAGACCAGAATATTCAACAGTAGCCTCAAACTATTTCTTTGTTGAATTGTTAATGTATCTCTTTGCATGGGATCGGCACTGGTTTAAAGAGACAGTTAAAAGTTTTAAAGAGCCAGTCAGATTTTCTTTAAAACATAAAAGGTAAAGATTAAGAGAATTGGAGACTGCAAACAAACCTTGGCGAGAGAAGGATGTCTGGCTAGTTTGCCCTTCGTCTTCTCAAGGTAAAATTCCTTCGAGTCACCAAACAAAACTTGTAAACAGTCGCAGTTTAGTCTGTAAACGCGTCCTAACACGACTTCGTTAACAGGCTGCAATCACGCATTGCTTACAGTGGAATAAAAGAAAACTACTCCAACAGCAGTGACCCGTGAAAGAGGCGCAAGATCAATATTCAGCAGTTCCGCTGAGGAACATAGTTAAGTCTTCCTGTACAAGTCTTTAACACTCATCTAGGGGGCCGGCTAGGACAGATTCGGCTTTCCCTATCAATGTCATGTCTCTGCTAAACTCTCTGAAACTGTCGTTCATTTTTGTTTATTTTAAATATACCTTTTTAAACCTTCTCAGTGTATAAGATGAAAACTAATTGCTAAAACTGCGCATGATCATTTTTAAAGAGCTACCATTAAGCCGAGGCTAGGCAGACGTAAGCACTGTGCATATTATTAGCTGGCTGCTACTACCTAGTACGTTTTCCACAATCAGTACTCGTTCGCTCAAGGATTTGCTTTTCTATTTTGTTGAACTGGTAATGAAACCTGATAATACGGCGGGTGCTTTCTTCTCCTTGCCGTTTGGTTTTCAGTTTAATTCAATGACTCCTCCATGCACTGACGCCGGTGTGATCAAAGCATTTGTGAGGAATAATTATCACCACAATGACATTTTTTTCATTTTTTTTTTCCCCTGGAAATTACAGAAAGTATATCCTTGACGCAGATAACCATCTATCATCTAAAGGACCGGTTTAATTGTTAAAATATACATTTTTAATTTTAAGAAGTTAACATTTAGTAAAGCAAACTGTAGTTTGAAATGTACTGGTGTCCAAGAAAATGACCTGAAATTTGGAGTCTGCCCGGCTGAGACTATTACAGCGGTTTCCGTTATAAGTTAAATTTATCAGTCTAGTTCAATTGTAAGTTTGTTAGTGGAGGAGGCGTTAGGACCCTTATTTTTCTTGGCTTCCTAACTTTAGCCCTCTTTCGATTGCAAAATATTAAGCATTTTACTTAAATTCTCCCTATCTTTACCGCTTTTTCCAGCCTCCCGCTCTTTCTTCTCCCGGTACATTTCGTATGTAACCCAGCTGAACTGAACATAGCTGGATTACGTTGTAGTATTATTTACTGTATTTTCTTTGCCCTTTTGTTCAGTAAATAAAATTTCCGACTTTAGTCTCGAACCTTGAGCGAAGCAATTCATGGGGCATTTTCACAATGATACTTGAGTCGGATCAGAACATAGGGGTGATTTTGAAGGAAGTCTCAGCCGCCTGGATTTGAAGTCTTCATCAGTGCAACAATCAAAGGACCGCCGGGAGCGGGTAGAAACTGATAAAAGAACACAATATTCATTTCTATTTTATATTGGTAATGATTACTCAGACTCTAGAGCAATAATCACCTTATATTCGCTGTTCATTCAGAACGCTTTTATAGACTAACATTACGCTGATACAGGGCTCGCGTTTTGAGGTTGTAATAAGTTTTCTTTTGTTTCAGGATTCCAATAGCTTGCGGGCTTGTTTTGATTTGCACAATTACACATGTCACTCAGATGAAGGTAAAGTGGATTGCTTTTTTCTCCGCAACAATAAAGTACAGATTTAAACGAGTTCCTGTAAACTTCGGACCGCTGTTTATTTTCTGACTTACCGGCAGAAGGAGTTTAAGTCCCTAAACCGGAAGAGAAGACAAATTCGGTTACTCAAGGAAGATTTTACGTGTTAAAAGGTTTGTTTCATCTTTGCCTGCTCCCTTTTTTCATTTTTTGGTCATATCTAATACCACCTGTGATGTTTATAGAATGTTTGGGTTTTATCCAGCACAGCCAATTTACTTGATACAGGAGTGTGCTTTTACGATTCCTTAAAAGATATTAAGACTTCATTGTATACAGCCGGTTAAGACTTTTGAAAGTTACTCCAGTTCTGATATATGAAGTCCCCATCACACGAGTCTCCTGAAAATCCCTTGGTTTCATAGTTATCTACCAGGGCTGTCTGCAAAATAATGAAAGTAGTTTCCGAGAATAAGAATGGAAAAATGAACACTCTATCTCTTTACTTCCCAAGCCAGTTTTTTAGGGAGAACTCGGTTGAATTATTTAAAGCAATTTACTGAATTTAACACTGTATCCAAAAGTTAAACTTAAACGCAGGTAAGTCATTTTCAAACCAGCATAGGGGTCAGAACCTTGTCGTATATCCGGCTGCGTCCGAAATTCTCTGCCTTGAACTCAAGAAAGTTATGCAGCACATCAACTACAAGGCTCGATAAAAACTATCTCAATAAAGACACACTAACAACTTTAAATGCTTCCTATGAACTTCGCTTTTTCTTTGTAGGGTTATTATAGTAAGCCTGATTTTATTACATGAACAGGGCTAGCCCTGATTGCCAGTAGATCATGGAATAGTTGAGATTCCGCAATTTAACTAGATTGTGAATGTAAATCCTCTCCAGGATAATATAAATTCAAACAATTTTCTAAAATTATTTTGTCATGTTTTGTGACTGACGAAGGTGACTGCTAAGAAACATGGAAAAATGTTTAACAAATCTTCACATGTAAGGCAATCCGAGCTTCTGGAATCCAGAATTGTGGAATTCGGAATACATGCAGCTGAAGGAATCCGGAATCCCACTAAAGATTGAAATCCAGAAAACAAAATCCACCGAAAATGACTGAAATCCCGAGTACCTGGAATCCCGGTGGAATCCACGTCGTGGAATCCAGAATCTAGGACTGTGTTGGATTCCCTTACATGGGGCGAAGCAATTAAAAAAAAGATCGCGATTCGTTTTAAAAGGATTGTGATTAACTGCTTTCTCGGCTGCAAACGCGTACGTTTGTCCCCGTGGAAAAACTAGAGGATCTATATAGAACATATCCAAGCTAGAGGGTTATTTTTTCTTACCATTTCTCATCTTGCAACAAAATTTCTTTTTTAATCTTTCTTTCTTTGTTACTTACAGTTTGATTCACCGAGGTGAAGGAGCTGAAAAGAGGATAAAAAAAAAAAAAGAATTTTGCCAGAAACGATTGTAAGTGCCCCACTTTTAAACAATGTTCATACGGCATCAGATAGCTGTTGCGCCGGCGCGAAATCCTTCTGTTCACGCATAAGAACCGTGATTTCGGCGCGAATTCTGTAACGGAGCGACGCTCCGCAGCGCCGATGTCTAAAGTGGAGAGCTCTAAAGGCTATTCAGTATAGTGAGAACAGAGCCTCATTTAGC